CCCTGAGGGGACTCAGGGCGGCTCACATAAAACTGGGAAGGGGGGAACATAAACATGGTCACAGCCGACAAATGATGTTCTAAGGTCAGCTGTGGGTCCAGGAGGACTCCCAAATTGCGAACCCTGTCTGAGGGGCGTAGAATTTCACCCCCCAGCCTGAGTAATGGAATACTAACCAAATTGCTGAGAACCTACATAAAACCAAATCCAGGATGTGATACAGAAATATGTGTTCAGAGTATTTTGAAACTTGGGGAGAGATGAAATCCTAATATATGAACAGTTCTAGATTATATCTTACCTTCTTATAAAACCATAGAAATAATGTATTGCTTCAGAAATACTTAAAGAAATATAAAAATACCAAACTTTAAAAGTATAGAATTTATTGTACTTTAAAAGTACATGATTTACTGTAGCATGTGCTTATAAAGATTGTTTTTGACAGATTATTGCATGAAATATTGTATAAAGATGACTACTTTTGGCAAACCAATGAGGTTACACAATGGAAACCATATAAAACACTTAAATTTATGGTACGGCCAATCTAAATACTATGAGTGATTTAATATTGTGTAATATATGGAACTTTTTGTCTTTTTAGAACTTCTTTCCCACTATGGAAACTTTTGAAGTAAAAAAAGAACATTTTAAAGAGGAATGCTTTCTAAATATAGGGAACTGTACCTTCTTTGTAAATAGCTGCTCCTTCTCCTGTAGTTGAGGGCTACATTCAGTGCCTAATGCTCGTCCATGCTCCGTTTTTTTATTCAATCTGTTTTTCCAGGCTTCCTCACCACTCTTCTTTAGGAGTGCCAGCCTAAAGAAAAGAAAAATATATGGACTTGGTTGGATCTATGAATATAAATTGTGTGAAGTAACTAAATGTATTCCATTGAGAATTCCATTCAATAATGGAGACAAAGCAAATTCTGACTTTCAGAAACCTTACTCTTTGACATAATCATACTTCATATTCTTTTCTATACGAAAAATTTTTTTCCGTAACTAACCCATGACACAATCCTTAAATAAAAGTAATATTACATAGATACAATGAATCCTGGATCATTTAAACATCACATATGAACAAAAATTCAGTAATAAGTGATTTTAAATTGTTCTTTTGAAAAACATATCAAGAGTTGTATTTATTCTTTTAAATACTAAAATGGCATTCTTCTTCATCTTATTTTGGGCGCGACCCAATGAAACTCAGACTGGCAATTAAAACTAAGAAAGAAAAGACAAGAACGCTGGTGGTGTGGTCCTGAGATCTACCATGCCTTGGTCAGACACCACTTGGAATATTGCATGCAGTTCAAAAAGGATACAACAACAACTTGAAGCAAATTCAGACACGCCCTACCAAATAGTGAGGTCTGAAAATACTCAAACATAGGATGTTCTATACTAAATGAAGATGTCCACTCCTCATTTAGAACTGGCAACTCAATCTTGATCATATCCTATTCCAAAATCCGAAATGTCTGTACAGGTAGGGACATTAGTGCTGTGAAGGTGCTTTTAAAGAAGGCCATCCAAAAATGCAACATTAGAATTTTCAAAGTAAGATTGAGAAACGGAGCACCACAACAGAGGACACTGTCCCAATTCAGTTTCCACTTGAACGTTTTTTATCCCAGGGCAGATAAATGAATTCAAGCATATTTTTCTATTATAAATGGACTATTATCCTTCTTTCATTTCATGTTCCTTATATTTACTTTCTGTTTTCCCTTACAAAAAAGGAAACCTTAAGTGAATTGACATTATACAAAAAGGAATGTTAAAAGACAAATAAACAATATAGAATATTATCTGCCATTATAAGAATTACAATATGATTATAAGCAACCTGGATTTGGCTCTTAAAAAAATGACATATTCCAATTATCGTTGATGCAAGACTAATGAGCAATTTTATCAATAAACAAGAAGATAAAAAAGATAATTTACAATGGAGACAGAAATATACACAGCTGCACCATCTATTCCAGCACCCAATTAGCAAATCACTTGAACTTAATCTGACACCTCTATCATAATCTACACGCGCACTTGAGTTTTGGTACAAATATGGGTCCATACCATGGTTGGATACAATTATTCTTACTTTTCCTTTCCAAAACGGAGTGTTAAGTTATATGTTCAAAGATATAAGTTAGGAGAAACAATGCTACTTCTTGTTCAAGAGACATTGATTTTCCTCTCTTTGAGGGATATAATGTACTTATAAGAAGCCAGGTTGCAATAGACTGACATCAAAATTAATATTCTCTGTCATTTGCCAGCCATTGTTTTTCCAATCCCTCCTCCAGAAATTATGACCACCACTTTCCTCCATAGGAGATTTTATTGGACAGACGAAAACATTGGATTTTTAGCGACAGTTCTGAGATGACAACACAATATTTCCCCACCAGGAAATTTATGAAGGTGGCAAACTTTGCACTGGTGACTGGTCTTATGACCACAATTGACCCAAATGTTTCTATTCCAAGTGAGGTTTTCCTCCATTTTACAACCTTTCTTGCCCCAGTTGTTAAGTGAATCCCATCAGTTTATAAGTTAGTAACACAGTTGTTAAGTGAATCTGGCTTCCCTATCGTCTTTGCTCATCAGAAGGTTGCAAAAGATGATCACATGATCCTAGGACACTGCAACTATCGTAAATATTACTAAGCATCTGAATTTTAATCATGTGACCATGGGGATCCTGCAATGGTTGTAAGTGTGAAAAATGGTCCTAATCACTTTTTACAGTGCTATTATAACTTTGAAAGGTCCCTAAACAGATAGTTGTTGAGAACTACCTATAGTCCCAGTTCTTCATGCAGCCTGCAAATGTTACTTTCTTGCTTGCTGTATGAAAATCTTGACATCTTGACATAATTCTGAAAGTTACTAAAACGATCAAACTACAGTTTTACTTTGCAATCCTGCCATGGAAAAAACGATGTGTGGCCAATAGCTGTATTGGGAATTGTATATAATGTATGCTTAAAAGGAAACCATGCCAAGAGAGCTTAGATTTTGCACAGATGTGGAATAGTGTATTGTAACATGTTCATTTGTTCAATTGCTATAATTCATTCTGCTTCATCATATGGATCGAGCAAGCATAACATTTTTTTTCAGTTCGATACCAACAACATACCACCAAAAAAAGCTCTTTGTTTAAAAAAGAAGAGTAGGATACTCGCTAAATGCTGGATTCACAGCTATATTTTGGCTACAGAATAATTGCTTGGTTTGCTCTCCTTAAAGTTAACCATTTATTCAGCTGTCTGATTAAAACCACATTTCAGATTCTGTTTTCTCATGTTTGCAAGGATGGCTTAGTTAATAAATTAACTATCTGATAGGATTGTGGGTCATGTTGTTCTATTTTTAGCAGTAAAAAAAAGGTGCCTTAAAATATGCAAAGGTACCTTGGTACTCGCCTACTTTAAAACTCATCAAATTTGGTACCCTGACGCATTTCAATGTGAAGATTAGGTCGCCTAATGCTCATCATTTGTTTGGTACTCAATGTGCAAGCTAGAACTACTAGGTCTCAGCTGCCTCGCAACTTGCTACAAAGGGTCATGTGCTAAGTCACATGGTTTGTTTGGTACTCGCCGTTTTTCAGTACTCGCTCCGCCTCCTGGAACCAATTAACGGCAAGTACCAAGGTACACTATATAGATGAAGATTGTCCACAAGGAATGGTCTTCTGTATCATTACTAAACTAGACTCCTCCTATAAATAAGAGGACAATCATACACTCAGAAGAGTCTATTTACCTTTCTTTAATGGACATAGTTTTGCTGGATGCATCAAGGGTGTCCTCTGTTATTTCAGCTTTACTGTCACTAAAGCCTTCTTTTCCTAACAGCTCAAAGGTTTCCTGTTGCCTACAGGACAGCACTGCTGCTGATTGAGAAACACTTTCTGTTGCAGCTGCTCTAAACTCTGAAGATGGTTCATCAATCTCTGAAGGGGAGAAATTCATCATTAGTGCTTCATTGCAAGAATCTCCTGCATATTTTGCATCAATTAAATCGATAAACGACTTCTACTTTTTAATATGCCTTTATAGTACTCATAACTAAATGTTAATGCTTGTCCTCACAGTTAATAGATTACTGCAGCTTTTAAAATATGATAAAAAAATCTTCCAAGATTGACTTCCTGGTGATTACATAGAGCTGTATAATGTCTGGATGTGGTTTTTCAACTTTCCAGACAGATTTTCAATCTTGGTGTGCCTTGGAAAAGATGACGCTGCTTTGGATGTGGCGTTATGATTTTCACATTTCCACGTGCTGCAAGTCACAAATGCTAGCCTAGAAACCAGGATACTGTGAGTTCTAGTTCCACCATAGGCATGAAACCTGGTTGGCTAACTCTGGGCTTCCCTATCTTAGCCCAACTTACCTTACTGGTTGTTGTGGGGAAAATAAAAGTAAGGAGTATTAGCTATGTTCACTACTACGAGTTATTTATAAAAATAATAGAGGTGGAATAATCTAAAATAATAACCTTTTATTATTTAATAAACATAATAATCTAAATTAATCTCTAAAAAATAACTTTTTTTCCCAAATGCCTGAAGTGCTAAGCAATTGTAATATAACGCTATTACTTTTTCAATAAATTTAATTTCAAATGTTCAATTCACTGGGCAATAGTGATTCTGATAACCTTTTATATTATTCAAGCACTATTTATTTTCATAGTTTTTATTAATATTCCTAAGAACCTTCCAATTTGTCTGGATTAGTAATAACAAATACTTCTCAGCAGGTGGCAGCATTGAATTGACCTGGGTTGATTTTAGTCCTGGTTAGATTTTGGATGATAGATCCAAAGCCCATGGACTATTTGTGTTCCTTGCTTAGTACTTCTGCTCATAATAATATAGAAGATAAACGTAATCAGAATTTGTATCTGTAAGACTGCCAATTCAAAGTCACTAAATCATATCACCCTTAGTTCAAATATATAAAATATGCCTCTATACAAAGGTAATTTCTGAAAAGTTGGGTTCTCCATAAGGTGATTGCAAAATATCTAGTAGGTTTTTCCTGATGAACAAATTGGCACTTTTCGTCCTATATCACATAAAAAAGGAACTGTGAAAAGAATACTAGATTTCTTACTATAGGTGAAAGTTGACTTTTCTCAATTGTTCAGAAAAAAAAATACTGTCAGTTTGTTTTAAAAATTTGTTCTGTAACACTATAATGTGATTGTTGGGATTGTTTTATTGCCAGGGAATAAAATAATTGCAGCGTGAAAGGTTTTTATGTCTTAAACAAATAGTCTAATGATTGTTTTTAAAAAGGTAAACATTTAGAACTAAATATCAATCAGTATCAACTGCATGTTAGCCCTTATTCTTATAGTAAGAAATATGTTTTAATATGTTGTACAAATATTCAAATACTTATTTGGTTCACATATTATGCAAAGCCATAATTTACCTTTACTAAATCTCAAGGGTTTGATGTGCACAATAAATTAAAGCATAAACCATGGTTTATAAATAATGTCACTGAATAAAACATTACTTTATAAAGAAATGATTTTTCGTTTTTTAAATCAGTAAAAGTATTTCAGCAAATTTGCATTAGAAAAAAAAAGACGAATAAAGAAAAATAAACCTTTTTAAGGTAATTTATCTTTATCTTTATCTTACCCTGTGCTAAGGTAAGTGGCCAATAAAATTTATAAGTAAATAAATACAATTTTGAACATAACTTGAGTTTTAGAAATTTGGTTTTCCGTGCCTCTGGGGAGAATAACACATGCTATACTGTGATTTTCCCCCCCCTGGAAAACGTATGGAAGATTGATATTAAAATAGCATCATTGATTTTATTAAAGAGGAAAAATATCTAACTGCTACATTTGATAATCAAATAGATTTCCTGAGAATAACTACTAATAGGTTATAATCACATATTGAATTTAGGACAGCTATATTTAATTGATTAATCAGGCAACAAACTAAAAAATGTATTCCAGTTAATCAGGCAGCTTTTTAAAATGCACATTTTAAACACAAGAATTTATAAAAGGAAGGAAGGGTATTTTTAGATCATAGCTTACAAGGCATGTTGCTTCAAACCATTTCCTATCATTTTATTTTCACTTACACATATACAAACACACACCTTCCCTGGGAGCTAAATGCTGATTAAAATTCATATAATGAGAAGATTAAGATTTATTTAGACAAACGAAGAACTGGAAGTGAACCATTTACCTCTTTGCAGTGTTGAGTCCATAGCAATTCCTTCACACTCCATCAACTCCTCAAAGGACTGCCCTTTGACTCCTTGTTTCGCTGGCAGGATGTCAATGACCTTTTCTTCAGTACACTGACAAAGAGACTGTGGGCTAAGCAATTCCATGCTGTTTTTTCTTGGGAATGCATATTTCATCTCTTTGTTGTAGTCTTTATCAGGAAGAGGATGTGGGGGCTCTTCCTCAAAGGAGCTATGCTTTCTTACGCCATTCATTTCCCATTTTGCAAATTCCTTGGGCTCTGCTTCTTCATGGTCTCTCAACGGCTGATTGTTCTCTCTGATTTCTGCCACAGGCTGCCGCAATTCTGTTTTTGGGGTGATTTTTAATGACAAATCCATGCTTTCCACTGAAGGGTGGTACTTGAAATCAGGTTTACCGGTCATTGGATCTTCGTCTGCCTTCACGTGGAGTTCTTTATTAAATAATGGTGACAATGCAGATATCATGGTTGACACAGATGTTATAGTAGTTGGAGACAGAGGACTGAACTTCTCACTGTCACTTTGTACCTATGGGATGATATATAGACTTGAAACTGGTTGTCTACAAGAAAAACTGTGTAATAACCAGCAATTATGCTAGCTATTCATTATTGTAACCTTTCAGATGCTGAGCTGGCAACATGACTGTACAGAAGCATAAGGAAACTAGTAAAAATGAGATAGATGAGAACAATTGTGTTTTCTGTTCCTCTTCTGCCATAATTCCACATTTTTCAAATGCTGCTTCTGAAAACAGTTGCAATTCAAGATTCTCCATGGTTCACTTTTCATCAACTGAGAAGTATATTTATTTACAAACCTACTTTTCTTCACATCTTAACAAACCTACAATCATATAGGTTGGCTGATGAATGTGGGAAATCAGAAACAGAAGTGGGAAATCTTGGACCTTTCCTAATGTTGGATTAGAATTTCTATTGCCCCAATTTCTGATTAGGACAGCTAAAGTCAAGCATTCATCTGTAAGGCCACAAGTTCTCTATCTGAGGATTAGAAAGAGAAACTGGGTTTCAGATTAAATATTTCATTCAGCAGAAAACTTGCTGGGTGACTTTCAGATGAAAGTTTTTCAATTAAGTCCATATATCACACTAAATCATCATCTGCTTGACTCGGTTCAGCTGAATTAATAAAGAACCGAACAGCACAAAATACAAACAAATGACATTTTGGTTTAGCATAATATATGAACTCATACAATCTAACTTTTAAAAGTTCTGGGAAATAAGCATGGGAAAAAGGAATTGGAGTGAACCTTGTATATAAGTTGGAGGAACAGTAAGATAAAAATATAATAGTTTAATTTGAAAAAAATACTTTGCATTGTATTCTAAGTATTTATGTACATGGTCAGGAAGCATTAGCTTTTATATTTTAATTCTACAATTAAACTACTGTACACATATGCTTAAGCTACTAGTGCTACCACTTTTAAATAAAATGTATAGAATGTACCAGGTTTTTAAAAATATTATTTGTTGCAGAACATGATTATATCCAGATTAGCTCAACACACCTATGTTTACATGGGTCAATTATACTTAACTTAATGTTAAAAGAAGATATTTGCTACTTGTATGATTTTTCAACACTGAAAGCTAGTTTAGCAATATTGGTTACGTACAGATGAAAACAAGATAGATACAATTCTTGAATAGGCACTGGTCACTGATCCTAATAAAAATTGTGTTCAATTATTGGGTGTAACAACAGTGGCAGGAAACAACTTGCATATAAACCAAATCATCTAAACCCTGAAGATAAACACAGTCCATGGTTACCCTATTTATAGGCAAGTTGGTTCCATGTAGCAGCTGGGCTTCTAAAGTTAAATTTCCAATATGGAAAAAAATTGTGGTGTACTTGTACCTAAACCAAGAGGGATTTATTTTTTACCTAGTAAACATGTTTAGAATTAGAGAACAAGTACACAGCTTTGGGAGTTCAGGGCTAGAATTGTGATTAGAACTTGAGATCTGCTTAGGACAGGGGTGTCCAAAGTTGGCCATTTTAAGATTTGTGGACTTCAACTGGGGAATTCTGGGAGTTGAAGTCCACAAGTCTTAAAGTGGCCAACTTTGAACACCCCTGGCTTAGGATAATACATCACAGCACATTTTCCTGAATAAGACAGATTTTAACAGTTTCAGGTACTTCAAGAACTTACAGAATTTATGTGAGGCAGCCTTTGCATTTAGAAATTTAGAAAAGCTTAGGCAGAGCACAGCTATTAGGTACCGTTATAACTGTCTTATTAAAAACCATGTCACTTCAATGTTGTACTGTCTTCACCAGATTGAAAAATTATAAATAATTTTGTACAGATAGCTACTTTGCATTATAAAAAAAAATTCTTTGGGTGTTTAAAGTCTGTCTCATGACAAGGGGTCATCTCTACATGCTGAGACACTAATCACATAGCTTGATTAACAGCAGTAGAGCTGCTGTCGGATGAAGTGCTGGACCACATTTTTATGTGATTTTATGTGAAAGAGGACATTAGATTCCATGTGGAAGAAAACATTTGCATTTGTACCTGCTCAACTTCTCCAAGGGTGACAGGCTGAGTTTGATAACGAGCTTTCGATCTCCTTTCTCTGAGATCCCTCTTCTTTACAAAGACTGCCTTTGTTATCGGTTGAGACAATTTATTAAATAAGGCCATCTTTTCAGCCAAACTCAGGGTAGAAGAATCTGGTTCTCCAGACTGATCTTGCTCAGCAGCATCTTTGGCTTCCTTTATTTCTTCTCTGATTGATGTTTTTTGATGGGCAGATGCTTGCAGACTTAAAGGAAACCTCAGAATTAACATCCCTAACAGGTTTAATAGCACATGAAACATTTTAAAAAGATCAGGAAAGCTTCGAACAAGACCTAGGAAGAGTCAGGAGCAAAGTGTTGGCAACTTGGTTTTGTGCAGCTGGATATGCATTATCTTTTCTTAATCATGTATTCCACATTTATCTAAGGCCAGTGTTTTAAAACCCCAAAGAGTCACAACAATCTTATCTATGCCATGCACCAATTTACACTGTGTAGCTAAATATCGTAAATCAGAGGGTATATAATCTTGATGAAAGGCTCTTCTGCATTCTCAGCTATTAAATTCAACATTTCTTCTTTAAAACTCTCATTTTGATTCTTATTTGTTGTGAACTTAGCAAGACATTTGTTTCATTTTCATAGTAACATGCATAAAAGAATACCAAACTTGAACCACATTTTACTTTTGCTTCGCAGGAATCCATTTTTAGGGCGAGGGATATCCCTCCACCTTATCTAGCCTTCCACTCACTGCCTACAATTTAAGAAAAAATAGTGACTATGCTAAAACAATATCTATTCTGTTGTTATTGCTTATGCGGTCTTTCAAGCTTGTATCACCAACAAAAGGAAGTGGGGTAAACATTAATCTTTGTGCAGCATGCTCAATTCATGGGAGGGGCAGGAAGAACTGAGTCAGATGTTTCGTAAGATCTATAGTGAGCACCACATGCATGGGTTTCTACATGCAAAACAGGCAACAATGACAGCAACACTGTTACATGGCAATTATTCCAAATTCTCTATGTTGGTCTGGGATATATGTATATGTTTTTGTGTGTGCACGGGCACATATGTAATATATAGAGAGACAGAGAGAATGAGTCAGGAAACTCTGGCAAGATTTCTCACACTTCAGGGAAAGTCAACAGAGTAGTAATGGGCATTAATTGAATGCATAATGCTTACGGCCTGAATCAGCTTAAACTTGTGAGATCAGTGTAATTAACTTTCTATAGCAATAGCAATAGCGGTTAGACTTATATACCCCTTCATAGGGCTTTCAGCCCTCTCTAAGCGGTTTACAGAGTCGGCATATTGCCCCCACAATCTGGGTCCTCATTTTACCCACCTCGGAAGGATGGAAGGCTGAGTCAACCTTGAGCCGGTGAGATTTGAACCGCCGAGCTGCAGAACTAGCAGTCAGCTGAAGTGGCTGCAGTACTGCACCCTAACCACTGCGCCACCTCGGCTCTAATATAAATATATAATCCTATATTTTATTCTTTTGATTAAACACAAAAGTTGAGCAGTCCTCAAGTATACTTTATTTATTATACACAACTTTTTTTTATCTGGCAGAGTAAATTAAGATCTATATTCTCTTCCAGATGTTTAATCTCGCTAACCTCCTGCTTGGATTCATCAATCCCATTTTCCATTTTCACCTAAGCTATTAAGTTCAAACACATTCTCCCAATAAATATACGAAGACATTGGGAAGCAGTCAAGAGTCATGGAAGGATGAGCCACGATGGTATATGTTGTGGGTAAAAAGATATTTGTTAATCTATCAATTCATCTTCGCAATTTAAAAATGACCATCTGGCAAAGTCAGCTACAGTCAACAGAAACAAAAATCCCAATAAAGTCACTGGGCTTTAGAAAAATTCTGAATTGTTTCTTCTCACCATATTTTTAATCTTTCAGTTCTGTCCCTTTCAGTTTCTTTCACAAGTATTAAACAGCTGAAGGGCAACCCAAACAAGAAGAGGAATTTATGCTTACACCTATAGATGGTGCAATTGTTCATCCTTCCATTAATCTTTCTAACTGTTAAGGGACTGGAGACAGAAAGTAAAGGTCCTATGAGTATATCTGACTTTCTCCATGCGTTTCCCCCCTTTTATATTTGAGAATAAGACCTTCCCCCTAAAAAAGAAAAAAAAAATCAGATACTGTGCCTAATCGAAAAGCTCTTGAATCAAGCGTGCAACAAGCAAAAATGTTTGACTGCTTTTGCAGTAGACAAAGAAAGGTTTTTTTTATAAGAAAGGCAACCATTCTTTAAAGGTCTTCAAATCATCCAGTACGCTTGCTTTTACAGATGCACTTGCTAGCAATGAAGCTCGCGTACCCTGTTACACATGCAAGTTGCGTCTCTCAGTACCTGGTAGGATGTACAGTGCTCTTAACTATAGTGGGATTAGGTATTCTTGCCACTACAGTGTGGGTATTCACAGTACATGAGGCAGGGGTAGGTTCACTTAAAAAAAAAAAATAGCCAAGAGGAAGAAAAATTCACAAGGAAAGAGAAAAGAACAGCATTAAGGAAAGCATATAGTTTTCACTGTGCAAGATGATATACAGTAGCTTTTCCGGAGTTGAATAAAGTTCAATAAATGTTTTATAAAACTGCATTTTGAAGGCCAAGTTATCTGTTGACAGGAATGTTTCCCAAAAAGTTTAACTGATTTTTATATGGTCTTCAAGAGCAGAGAGATTTGAAGGACAGTCGCAGGATTTTAAACATACAGAATATGAATACATTATTAGGAGGGTACATGCATTTAGAAGGCTTCTGCGATTCTGGTCGATTATGAAATTTCACTGGCAGAGTTTTTCAAGGAAGTTAATATATTTGATTTCACTTCTTTCCTAACTCCAAAAATATCAAGTATATCCTAGTATCACCTGTGATTTATTAATTAGCGTATACATGTACTTTGTCCTGATTTAAATCACTGACTTCAAAAAAAAATGATAGTTGTTCTCCTTTAAGCTACCACAATTTTCTAAAAATTGTTACTCCTCTGCTAGAACCCCTTCAAAATTACCTAGCTGAAAATACTTCATGAATGGAAGTAAAACTGTCTAATTAAGAAGCCAAGCAAATATTTTAGGTAACATATTTCTAGGACTTACGTGGTAGCAATGACCACTTCTTCTGGTGTAACAGGTTGTGTCCGTGATCTATCTTGCATCCGTCTTAATCTTCTCTCCACAGCAGAATTTCTTGAACGTGGTTTTGGAACACTTTTATCGTCAAATGATTTTTCCATTTCCTGGAATGAATATATTACCAGCTTAAAAAGAGGTCCTGGGTCTTGGATCAATACATTTATGGAGAAGAAATCTCTAGTGCATTATGAGAGTTTACACCCATGAGTGTCAAACACGCCATGACACATTGCCGTAACATTTATCCTATTCACAGAGCTGGGGTGGGCATGGCCTATGCGTGACACATCTGGTCCGTGGGCCGCCAGTTTGACGCACCTTCCTTAAACTGAAGTAATGAAAAATTTACATCTTTTGAGAAAAAATAAGATACTTACTCTGAAAAGCAATCTTTTTGCAGCAACGCTCAGCTTAGCTCTTTCATCTAATTTCTCTTCATCTATAGAAAAAATGATGTATTAGGCTCTAGAGCAGACAATCTAAATTGATTCTCCACAACACATACTTATAATAGAGGCCCTGAGTTTCAATAGGTAAGCCCCATCCATAGATAAGCCCCATCATTTGTCATCAGTCTGTGACAAAGATTTATTACAGTAATAACTAGCAATCACAAGAAACACCATCCATTTGGTTCCTTGACGAATGAATGGCATTGATACCGGTTGAAACCCCACAGATTCTACAGAATGTATGGAGTCATGGAGATGACCATTAAGAAGGCAACTAGAAGCTGTTAGGATGATCTGTGTTAAGTTCAGGCAGGGGAAAAATACTGAAAAAAGATTCAGACTGTTTCTCCTAAATTCTCAGACTACAAAACGGAAAACATGGGCATTCTTGCAATATTCTTTTATTGTAACCTATTCCAGCAGAGTTCTACTCTTCCTATAGATAATCAGTGTCTTCATCTGGTGTTTATCTTGTAGGGCTTACAGAGAGGCCATGAACATCTAAGCATATCTGGCAACCTCTGCCTATAAGTTGGAACACCATCCTAAAGTCTTCTCCAGCTATTTCAGGAAGAAAGACACTGTGGGGCTGATAAACAGGTAATGCTTCAACACAATCTATTTTCTGCCCTATACCTCTATCTTCCAACCGATCTTTAAATTTTATTGAAGTTGATTACCAGATGTCCCCAGAGGCAAAGCATTTAAAACTGCAGCAGTCAGGATGTTTTCACGTTACCTTTTGTTATTAATTCCAAAAATTGATAGCATCTAGGGAAGCCTGCATTTGCAGCAGGTTTGCACACGTTGAGACCAGATGTGACCTTTAGAGTTGCTGTTTGATTTATTCATTAGCCCTTAGACACTGACCTCTCTGATGATATCCTTTACTTTAGTTCCAAAAATTGTCTTATCACACCAACAAAGAAACAAGACCTGGCCCGCCTGATTTGCTCTTGAAAGTTAAAAGAAGAATGTATTTCTTGATGGCTATAGCATAAAAGCACTGTCTCCTACATAGTCCTCTAATGTCAACATTTCCCACTCTGAAAATTAACATCCCTAACAGGTTAAATAGCACATGAAACATTTTAAAAAGACCAGGGAAGCTTCGAACAAGACCTAGGAAGAGTCAGAAGCAAAGTGTCTTCTTTTTCTTTGCTTTCAGAACAGGTGTTTTTGAAAATATACATTTACTCTGGACTTGTCAACCGGAAGGTTGACACGTTGAGACCCAGGATGAGCTCCTGTTGTTTCCCCAGCTCCTGTCCATCTAGCAATTTGAAGGCATGCAAATGCAAATAAATAAATTTGTACCATTTCGGTGGTAAGGTAATAGGGTTCTGTGCTGGCCACATGACCACTGAAGTGCCTTCGGACAACGCTGGTTCCCTTGGCTAAGAAACGGAGATGAGCACCGGCTACTAGAATTGGTCATGACTGGACAAGGGAAATCTTTACCTTTTACCTATTTGACCAGAACGTCACTAGCTACTCACAAGGTGTTGAATATAATATCTTTATGTTTCATTATATCTTATGTGGTACTGGAAGGGTGAATCCCTGTTCACGCACTTTAACATCCATATGAAGGCAAGAGGATGTTTGTGTAATGTTCAGATTAATTTCTATCCAGCAACCTGCCAGTTAATCTCTGTATTCAGATGAGGTTAGGAAAACATTTCACTCAGTCCACCTAGCAAAGAAATATAGCCTGATGTTTATATATTAAATATCAGCAAACATTAAGAAGTGAAGATAGCAATTTGCAGGAGGTGGATACTATTTCTAATACAGTTTAGAGTGTGGTTATCATTATTATGTTGGTCTATCCAACTTTATCTTTTGTCTGAACTGGTTTAGGGTCTCCTGAGCAGGATGTTGGACTGGAAACCTCCAAGATCCCTTCCAATATTCCTGTTCTGCTCTATCCTATTATTTATTTTCTTAGTATTTTCAGATTTTTCTATTCCATCTCATCCCCCCAACAATAGAAAGATGCTGTCAATGTCTTCTCCAGATGACTGAAGGCTATGACAGTCTGAGAGTAAGAGAACTTGCTGAAGATGAACCCCAAGAAAGACAGAAATGAGAACAGCCAGTTCTCTTACACTCCAAACTGTACACTACCTGAAGTTTACCTTCAGCCAGTTCTCTTACACCCAGACTGCCATAGTCTCTAGCCACCTGGAGAACACATTGGCAACATCTTTCTATTGTTGTGGTGATAAGATAAAGTTGGGTAGATCAACACAATAATGATATCACACTCCAAACCTCTGGATGTCTTCTCTGTGTTAGATACATCAACCCCATCCTGCAAAATTACACTAGGATATAAATGCAATAAGCAAAAATACGAACGGTCAAGAAAAAATCTTACCTTCAGGAGATGGCATTTCTGGACTGAAAGTGGACCTGTGGAAATTTCACAAAGGAAAAAGATAAATCAATGATCTTTCTTTTTACAAAGGAAAAAGATAAGCCACTTGAAATCAAGGAAGACAAGAGAAACCACAAATAAGACAGTGTTTCAGTTTGCAATAATCTTTTGATTGCAAATAACCTGAAAGCAGGATCGCAAGCAATTCCAGCCAGATGTAAGTTGCATGAAGGAGAATGAAATCAGGTAATTCATTACATAAATAATAAAAATGAAACACTTTAAAATGCTCCCCCAATGACTACATCTAGCACCGATTTCAGGTTTTTTTTAAAAAAAAAAATGCTTAAAACATTATAGATAGATTGAATCTATTGCAGGGATAAGCTACTATTTTCACCTTAGAATGCATGCTGAACTTTTAAAGACAACCTGTTTCCTGTACCTAATATGGAATAGAATGTAGTTATGTACATGTGTGTCTGCATATATATATCAATGTATAATAAAACCACTCCCTCCAAATCAGCCCTTTCCAACTGCATTATTAGTCTGGCTGAATAATATTTAACTTTAATTAAAAACAAAAACAAAAGAAATCCTAAAAGACCTTGAAGAGTCTCGTTTATTTTACTAATATAAAGTGCAATATATGGACTATTATTCAGTGATCTCAGCTTTACAAATGCCTACCGATCTGTTTCCTTTCGCTCTGCTGAAGTTATGGGTTGAGTCCTAAATCTCTCAGAAGTCTTTCTATTTTCCTCGGGAGAAAAATACCGCCTTGGCTTTCGTGACCTTTTTTCGCTTTGAGCAGTGCCCGGCAAATCAGTACCTGATGTTTGCATCTCACACTGAGACTCGCTTTTTAACATGGCAGAAAGTGGAGAGAGAGGGAACAACAAAAGAATTGGGATGAGCAGGGAGAAAAGAAGAATGAGAAAAGAGAAAGATGAAGGTCAAATGTAAGCATCCCATCAAATCAGTCCATTATTGCTCGCTCTGCATGCTTCCAGAAAAAAAAAACCATGCACAGGAAAAAGTACAAAGTCATTCCATTCCAGCCACCCAACATCAGAACTTGCACTAAGCAAGCAGAAGCATGTATGAAGAAGAAGATGGAGGCCAACATTGTGTCAAACATACTAGATGGAAATTACACTGGGTATTTGAGGTGCTGCAGAATGCAACTGATGTTGAGTTTTGAGTGCCGTTTATGCCAAGGACGTGCAAGTGTTCACATCAGTTAAATAGTAGCAGTAGTAATAACAATAATAACCAGAAAATGTCACCTACAGTTCAGGTTTCTTCTTGGCATTAGCAGTTTCCAAAAAGGCATTACGGAGTTGGGCCACGGAAACTTTTGTATCAACCACAGTAACCTCACCATTGGGGATCTTTCCTTCAGTGCTTTGAAACTGCATGATGTTCTTTGAAACATGTTCTTTACTCCTGAAAACTTCTAGTTTAGGAGATACAGTGTGATCCGATAGGGAGCGCATAAGGAACTTAGGTTTCGCAGTAATCTCTTCCTGGGGCTGTGCACTCCCTCTAGCACTTCGAAGGTACATAATCTTTTCGGTTTTCTCAACATTCTCATGAATCTTCATCTTAGGTTCAGGCATCCACTCCTTAAAGCTCTTTAGATCCTTCGCAACTTTCAAAGACTTTAGCTTCACAATTGAATCTTTCTTAAATCCATCTTCTCCACGGTAGGCCTCTCTACTCTTCATTTGCCTCTGCATCTCTGAAGCTCGAACTGCTTGTCTTTCCTTCTCAGCCTCCAATCCGGAATAATCAAGCTTGAGTGATCCATAATTCTGAATCAAGTGACATTTCTCATTGTCCATCCTAGCATCTGGTGGGAATCTAGTTACGAAGCTGGCACTGGCCTGTATGGGAATCCTGTTAGTAGTATTCCTTTTTGGTTCTTCGGGTGCCACCAATTGAGCTGAATTAGCAATTTCAGCAGCCTGAACATAGCCATGTGCTGGTTGGCAGGCTAAATCAAATGGCTTACTGGCAACTCTATGGAAAGCAGATGTTTCTGACTGAAGAGGCACAACATTAACAGGTAGTGGGAGAATTTTTCTTTGAGACATAGTGTCTGTGAGAAGTTCAAGGCTTCCACGAGAATTCTCCTCTTTCACCAGTTTCTCTCTAACTTTTACTCTTTAAGAAAGAAAAATGGATTAAAAAGTGGTTCAGCTGTAACTAAGAAAAGGAGAAAGAAAGAAAAAAACATGCACCAACTTTGGGAAGAGACAGTAACATTAAAGTATTAGATATTGTTAAAAACAGGAATTTGTAGAGAATCTTTCCATGAACTACTTGTTGCCAATTTCACCCCACTCGTGTCATGATTCTGGTCACTGATATCAGTATAGCTACTTTTTAAACTTTTATGATCTACAATGTTAATTTGGTAGGGTGGATATGGAGCGCAATATGGCCAAATTAAGAACAGTTAAATGTGTAGTCTAGCTCCCAAATAATAAGTAGGCCATTTGTTCTCAAATGTGTTGAACATGACCTTTTCTAATGTTTGCAGAACCATGGATATACATGGACTTTGACAGCTTGTCATATGCACTCTTATCAAATGGCTGCTGTGGGAAGTATACCCAAACACAGAACACTTTTTTACTAGGAGGCAGGCTGGTAAAAATGTTTCCTGTAAAGTTTTGAAACATCCTAGAGTTTCCCTTTCCCATTTCATCTTACTGCCTTTTTTTTCTCTTAGCAGGTAGGAACACTTTCTAATGAAGCCATCAACCACCATTTCTGACACATAATTTCTTGGGAAACCTAGCCGTCACATCAATGCTTTGAAGCATTGTCGTAAACATACTTGTCAACTTCCCATATATTTATTATTTTTAACTAAAAGAATATAAAGTAGAATGTTCTGGAAAAGGAATCTGGTGAATATACAGAGTTGTTGGCAGGCAATTTAGCACTGAATTGGAACTTAATTGATTTCCTGATAAGAATGACTCTAAAATTATGGACAACATATGTCTAATTAGAGCTAATTGTTTCAAATATAAACAATGCCAAATTTCTGAACAGAGACGAAAGAGAACCTTCAATTTTGGTATTCACACAGAACTATTATATTTTCAATATACATAAATGTGTTATTTGTGAAAGATGTTAGGCAAAATAGACAATAATTCTGAAACAGAAAAATTAAGGTGCTGAGCACTGTATATTATACTGGATATGTATTCTAACATTCTATTATCAAAATTGAAACCCAGATGCTTGCAACTGGGAATGTCAGTTCAGCTGGCACTGTCCTATTCCCAATCTTGTGTCCTTTTTGGGAGAAGGGATGCCTGCAAATTTTCTTTGCCCCTGTACACTACCTGGACAACTCTCTGCAGTTTTTTGGCAATAGGATTTTGATCTTATTTGCCATTTCTTTTCTTGTAGAGCTAAAAGTGACTAGTCCACGGAGATCTATTTGGTTTTCTATATCAGTCGGACTAGAGCTCACAAACTCTTATACCAAACTGGCTCTCTTAAATCTTGTGCTACTAAAAAAATGTACCTTGTGATTCTGGAAGTAATATATCAATATTGTGATTAAGAGTCACTGAAATTTTAAAACATATTTATTGAAATTGTTAAATGCTTATTAAAGCTAGCTACTTGCCAGCATTTGTTAGTCAATGAAGGCTCCTTCACGCTTATATATGAAAATAACTCATATATAAGCATGAAGATTTCCATGATTATAAAGAAAAGCTATTGAATTAAATACTATGGGAAACAACCCAGTATGGGAAACATTTCTGCATTTAGTACTTGAAACATTTCACAGGCTGTTATTCTGTAGTGTTACTGAATGCAAGGCAACGGAGTAAATTAATGACATAAAAGTGTGAAAAAATGCTTAAATTTAGCCAGTTCCACTTTCTCTGTAGCTATGGAACAATTTCTATTAACAAATCATCAATTAATTGTGAGTGACCAGGATTTCCTAAGGGAACACTGTGCACCAAAAATGGTCCATTAACTAGAGACAGTGATTTATAATTCCATGCCATCAATAAATATTAATGACCTTTGTTAAAATGATCATGGGTGAAAGAAAAAAAGAGGAAAATATTAAAGTCCAATTATTATTTACACCACACAGCTACATGGCAGAATACCTGGAGGGCCAGTTGATAAGTGAAGTTGTGTCCCCATCTGAATCTTTCTGAAGAAACCAATCGGATTTTGTTTTCCCTGTACTACTACAGAAAATAGAACTTCAGAAAATGTTCAGATACTATTCAAAACATGTACACTCAACTCCTCTATTGACCCTAGTTAACCATATGCTATATGTGAACATAACTAGAGATCTCTCTATAAAAATTACTTCTATTGGCACAAGTCCATAATATAGAAAGATTAACAAAGAAATATATTTTCTAAATATTTAATCTTAATAAGAAATATTGTTTAATCTGAATAAGAAATACTGAAGAAATAAGGCAATACTTAATACTAAATTTAACAAATGATACCTTGACTTAAAGTGGGAATGGAATTCTAAATATCAAGACATAAGAAAATTTAAAACTTAAGCATTTCCTTATAATCTCTTATATTATTAGTTAGACTGAATCCTTTATTAGAAAATATATTTATTTTTTAACATATATTTTATTTAAGAAGCATAATTTTTCAATATACCCTGGACCTGAAAAGCGTTAATGCCAGAATATTCTTCACTTCCCCACATACCTAAATTATAACAAGCAAATATATACATTTAAATGAGATTTTATTAATCTCATACATATACATTTTATTTATGATTTAAGTACATATGCGTAAGATTGACCCATTTGTCATTTCTTGCTTGAAAGCAAACAGCAATATGTAAAAAAAAAAGGCTTGACACTGAAACAAAATTATATCTTTTAATAACAATTTACACACTCAATTATTTATTAATAAGATTAATAGAATAGATGTTTTGGGCCAGTTTCTCATAGCAACTATTTTTTTCTTGGCTGGTATTGGTAAAAGTAAGCAATACTTGTGCAATGATTAGGATACAAAAGTGAAAATGAAATTTGGGGTGCGTCACGTATCACGTATCAGCACCACTTTATATCATATATGTCTTTTAGGAATTGTCAAAGATGCAACATGCATACCAATGCAGACATTGCACAGTCTCTTCTTCAAATACAGACATTGCCCAGCCTTACTAAGTTTTATTAACTTTTAAAGCCATCTGGAAGCTACACTTTTTCAAATTACAAAACTAGCAAAATGCTAATGCTGAAACAAGAGATTGTAGAGATAACAAAAAGAGGAAACAGAGTGCATAATTCCCAGTGTGGTTGTCTTAGCCCAGATCTTCTTTGTGGATAAGTAATTTGATTCAACTATTTCCAAATGTGGTGCATTCCAGATGTATTTGACGTATTCCCAGGTATTTAGCCCTGGGAATTATGAGACTTGTAGTCAAAGTATATAAAAAGGACCATATTGGGAAAAATCTGCTTTAGAAAAACTTTACATTGAAGAGAATCAAACACAGGGCAAAAAAATGGGGAAATTGCAATTAGGAATGATTTCTTCAGATACAAAATACTACCCAGACTAAGGGCAATTTTATAAAACAGAAGTGAATTTATGGAAGGCATCGCTGAAAAAGGCAGTAACTGTTGTATTAAAGCATTAGTATTAGTATAAAGTATTACGGCATTAGTATCAAATCACAACTTTTGTTTTTCTATAAAATGAACAAGTCATTTGTATAAAGATCTATCAATCTAATCTATAAAACCCAAAGTCAAAGTTACATTCTTTTCCACATCAAGCATGAAATTCAGAAGCTGTTTCCATGTGGAAACAAAAGTACTAATGTTCTCTTCTTTAATCAGAGTACTATTTTACTGCAACAGAGAGAGTGGGAAGTCAATGCTTCCTTTTCTTTCCTTTCTCCTACCCTTCCTCACTTCTCTTTCTCCTTTCCTTTCCTTCCTTAATGTTCCTCTATTTACCTTTATACCATATTTTTAAGAATATAAGATGCACCTTTTTCCCTCAAAAAAGAGGCTGAAAATCTGGGTGCATCTTATACACTGAATACAGCATTTTTGCCTCCCGAAACCCCGCCCCTTCACCAAAATGGCCATGCATAGTTTGTAGCAAGCCTTTAGAGAGCTTCTGGGGGCCGGGGAGGGCAGAAATTAGCAGAAAATGGGCCATTTTTGCTTGTTTTTGCCACCCCCCACCCGCAGGGCTATTCATGCCTTTTTTTAAAAAAAGGGCCCGTTTTCACAAAAAATGGGCTGTTTTTGGGAGGTTTGCAGAGTGCAAAAACTTTTTTTTATTTGCCTCTTCAAAACCTTGGTGTGTCTTATACACAGGTGCATCTTATACTCTGAAAAATACCATATTTTGTATTTTATAATGATGATTTAATTAAAATGTTTGAAAAAAAGAAAATGATAGTGACTGTCATCTGTATAAATAAAAATCTATGATTATAGCAGTAGACTTATATACCGCTTCATAGGCCTTTCAGGCCTCTCTAAGCGGTTTACAGAGAGTCAGCATATTGCCCCCAACAATCTGGGTCCTCATTTTACCCACCTCGGAAGGATGGAAGGCTGAGTCAACCCTGAGCCGGTGAGATTTGAACCGCTGACCTGCTGATCTAGCAGTAGCCTGCAGTGCTGCATTTAACCACTGCGCCACCTTGGCTATAGCCTTACTTTCTTAGTAATTCATTGGTTTAGAATTTTTTAATAAATTGAATGGAAGAAGAATATCTAAAATAATTGTCAGTTTTAAGAACTAGCACTTTTGCTTTATCGCTGAAAGTGTAATAAAAGTGATGATAAAGTTGTTTGAACATACTCTACAGAATTTATATTAGGTAATCATAAAGTAATAAAAAGATAATGTGAATCAAAACCACATATATGGAGAAGTGAATGTTATAACAGCGGTGCTTCCCCAACTGATGGTTTTATATAGGAAACAACGCTTTGAATCAACATTGAAAGATTGTGATAAATTCCAAAGCTTATTCCAAAAGTTTTGTTTTACTGATGTAGTGTTGAAACTTTTCTCTAATTTTAATTTCCTAGGAGGTTTATTTAGAAGGAATATGTATTTGGATGTGTATTTGAAATGAATTCTGGGGGCTCAGTACTGTCTAATATACTTTATACAATCAGGATTGATCAAAACTGGGTAAGTTCAGATGTAGGCTGAGCCCATTTAGCATACATCTCTTTCCTGGCCTGACAGCAGCATGGGACTCGACTAATTGTTTTCCCGAACCAATCTTGTACCTTTTGCTTTCTAACTTTTAAATCCTGGCCTATCAGCTGGAAACCCTTTGCTGACCTTGATTTTGTCTGTTGCTCTACTTTATGAAATGTTGTCATTGATACAGAACTTCGTATGTCCTAAATGTTTGATATGGCCATAAATATACAGGTAGTAAAGGTGACATGACTGGTTGCTTAGTAACAATTTGAAACTTCATTGGACCCCAAAGAGGGCATTTATGAACTGGATTTGATAATCCAATAATTGCCCTCCTGCGGTCCTATGATTGCATTTTGAGTGCTTGTCAATCAGCTTGCATTTATGGCCGTTTGCAATATCCCGTAGTCATGGGACTGGTGTTTACTTCTAGTTTCTGGTAAAAAAAACCACACCAGTCACTGCAGACAATGGATTCGTTTAACATATGTGGCATTCAATTAATGACTACGGAAAAAAATGTTGTAAAATCAGGCATAACTACAATATGACTTGCTTAACAAGTGGAATTACTTACAGTCATAATTCAGGACTCAGTTAAGTCAAGGACAACCTGTATCTTCACTACTAGTTCTACTATAAGTTGCTTTAATAAATCTGAGCACTATTCAATTATTTTAATCTCCTGTAATAGGATTCAAATATAGATTACTCTCTCACCTCAAAACAAAACACTTAAGTACACTTTTGCAAATGGTTGATAATGAAACATGCATTTTCCATGTATAATATATGACACAGGGAGGAAAAATAGACCCTTCAGATATTCTTAAGCAATAACTTCCAGTGAAATGTCCTTATTGTTTGGGACTATTTACTGTTATTGTTATATTTTGAAGTGTTAATTTGATTTTTTTTTTTCAAATTTCTTTTCATTCTCAACAAGGCTTTAAAAAAAAAAAGAGATGATCTCTATAAACCTTTCGTTGCAAAACCCAAAGTTGGGCTTGCTGTTATTTATGCTTTTTTCACTCTCTTAATAGAAGTACAAACAAGTATGCATTCATATTTTTCTGCTTCTTCAGTGGATTTTCAAGCATTCTCTGCTAATGCTCCATTCAGGGAGCTTTTCAATCATGAAAGGTTTTCTCTATATCATTGCTTCAACTTCTTTTTTCAAAACTCATTTTAGAAGCATTCCTCCTTCCTTTTTTTCTACATTATTAGTAATGTAAATCAAATATGATTTCTAAGTACTATTTATACCTCTAATATTAAATCTGATGCATTTCTATAAAATATGCCTCTTACGAACAACCCTTTGCCCCTCTCTTCTTCTCATCAGCATTTCCTTTATTGTCATCATTTTTCTCTATAGATCAAACATTGAGCTACTGTAAAGATTTTGGATAGGATCATATAAATCAAATCAGCTCAGTAAACAATGGCAGTAATAGCAGACTTACCCTAATTTGGGGTCGTTCAGGGAAGGACTTTGTGATGTTCCTGGCTTTGGTGTGGAAAGAGAAACACTCTGAGTTTGCTTTGGTGAACTTGGTACTTCATTTATGGAAGAGTCATAACCCAGAAGTGAGAAACCTGTGGAATTCTCTGATGCAGAGGGTATATTGTATTTGAGCAAGCCAGTTTCAGGGACTATTGGTTCACTGCCTTCATTCAAATGGAGTTTTTCTCTTTCCGGAGAACTCTCTTTGTCATCATGCTCAAGAAACTCCTTTGACTCAGAAGCAGCATTCCTCAGTTCCTTATTCTCAAACCTTAATGAACTGTGATCTCTACCTTCATCCTCTTTTTTCCCACCTTTCAATACTTTCTTCTCAGACACATCATGGTCTTTCTTTGTCCTTGTGTATTTGGATGAATATTCTGAATCCACATCGGAATCTATGGAGACGCCATATTTTTCAGCCAGTTGCCGACGTCTTTCTGCCTTGTACCTAGCTATCCTCTCAGCTTTGGACTCAAGTCCTTGGGGATCCATGACTAAAGGATTGTAAGAAGGGTTTTTTGTTTTTCCTGCTGTGGATTCTACTTGATGCCTGGATCTAGGCTGATTTTCTAACAGAGGATCTGAAAATTCCTTTTCATTTGATCTTCCTACAACAACACAAAAGAATCAGATGTATCAGCATAAAGCGTATGCTGGACTTTAAAGAATCTAAGTAACGATCTGAATTTAAAGCATTGCTATTTACCACAGCTACAGTTGAAAACATAGGCAAGGCAGCTTTCTTGAAACTACAGTCTTTCAAATACCTGACCTTGCTGGCTGAAATTCTAGGAATTTTAGTTGTAACACATCTGGGGAAATGCTTAACAGAATTGGGATACAAGCCTTTTGCTTCTCCGCCAATTGCTTTTGAGATAGGAAACTCCTGGGTCTTGATTAAAGATGTTATGGACCTTTTTAGATTCTTTCCTTCTCTGCCTCAGGTTAAAAAACATCACTGGATTTTTCATTGTAATCATGTTTTTAAAGACATTTTATGTCTGTAGAGTCAGGAATTCCCTGATTTCTACTGCATTCGGAATCAAACGTGTTTACAAATATATTTAAAAATCTCTTAAGTATTTAAGGTTAGAAAACAGCTTTTTCTAAATATGACCTGTATTTTTTTTTTTTTAAAAAAAATAGCATATAACCACAGCTTTGCAATCCTACACTTTTAATGCTTTATTTTCTTTTGATATTCAGGCTAATCTTGATGCTGATGGAAACAGGTTTTTCTAGGTCCTTATAAAGTCATCTATTTCTCTGAACTGTGTGATAGAACATACCATGAGGTGGAGCTAGAAGTAATAAGGATTTACAACGTGCCACTAAAGAAAAATAAGGAATATTTGCTTTGATCCTCTTTTGACTTGCAGTTTCATGAACTATCTACAGGTATCTTCAATTTAAGACCGATCATTTAATAACTCTCAGAAATTGTTGCCTATAAAAGACTTCCGACCATCATTAAAACATTGCACTACATCTCTGTGATCATATTTCAGGGTCATGTGACCACAACTTGCAACTTTTTTGACAGTTTCCAATGTACTTTGTTCTTTGATGGCAAAAACCGTCTATTTGGGAGAACAGATTTCACTTAACAACCATGTGGTTCTCTTAATGATTGCATGGTTCAGACTTATACTCATGTGATTTGTTTAATGACCACCATTGAAAAATAGGGCCTGGGCATGTCTGTTACTCAACTTATAATCAAAACAATTTACAACCAAAATTCCAATCATAATTGTAGTCGTAAGTTTAGAACAATTAATCAGTAGAACAACTTGCCTCCAGAAGTTGTGAATGCTCCAACACTGGAAGTCTGTAAGATGATGCTGGATAGCCATGTGTCTGAGATGGTGTAGGATTTCCTACCTAGGGATGGACTAGAAGACCTCCAAGGTCTCTTCCAACTTACTATTTTGTAGTAATTGTAATTGTATTTAAAAACACTTGTAATTACTATTGTAATTGTAATTAGAGAACCACTTGTATCTACGCTAGAGAGCTGACAAACCCTTTGGAAACAGTTTGGGAGTACCAGTGAATGCAGCAAGAAGAAACAGAACCAGCCAAATATTATCTCTACTCTTCTAATAGAAGTTTCTGCCAGATCTGATATGGCAGGCATGTCTGAATTTAACCGATGATAAAATATCTTTAAAAAACCCTTCTCTGATATTCTTTAAAAGGTAAAAGCAGTTACATTCATAACACCCTAGATAATGACAGCTTCTAGGAACTCAAACTTAGGACAGCACTTGGGCAACATGAATATATATCACAAATGTATTCCTTACCAAAATGAGGACTATATGGATCAGTCGCACGCGTGTATCTTGGTGTATCCTCTTCTAACAAACGATGGGTGACCAATCCAGGGCAATTTTGCAAAAGGACGGGCTGAACATCATTCTCAATTCCTTCTAAACGCCTAGCTATCCTCTCTTTCCTGTAAAAGAGAAAATAAAAATAAGAGAGTGTAATATAAATGTCACCTAGGGAAAAGGAAGTTGCTTATACTTCGCTTAACATAAAGATGGAGAAATACCTTTTCATTTCCAAAATATCCTGCCTGTTTGGTTCAAAGAGTTTTCTTAATTCAGAAACTAAAAAAATAAATAAAAAATAAACATTAGAAATTTGAAACAATATAGTTGTAAAAAGAAATGCCTGTGTTTTCATAAAACAATTGTTAATAAATGAAATGAGATAGTGATCACCTACCAATTATTTGCTAAGTTTATCTTTCTTGCTTTCCATAGGTTATATATAATGCAAATGTTTGCAAGCCACTAACTCTATCAGAATAATATTAATAGTCAGTGTTTCTCAACCTTATGATGCGTGGGCTTCAACCTTCCAAATCTCTTAACTAGAGAAGCTGGCTGTCTATACATCTTAAAATTTACAGAGTTTAAAAAAGGCTGCTCTAACTTATACCTAAAATGTTCCATAATGATATTTAGTCATATACCAATGTTGGTGTATGAAAGCAAAATGTTTTACAACATATTTTTTAAAATCTATTTGTTGGAATTGCCTTTGTTCCATAGCAGATATCCACAGAAGATTTTTAGAATAGCACATCACACCTCTGCTCTGTAAGGTTTTTCCCCCAGGCTAATTCAAGATGCTGGTTTTGACCTTTAAAGTCCTTCATGGGAAGGGGGTCAGATTATCTGAGGTACGGTAATTCCTGATTATATCAACCCACTCCATTAGATCTGATAGAGAGGACATGCTAAGGATTTCCTCTGAGAGCGACCTACATTTGATGGGACTAGGAAGGGGACTTCAGTACCATAGGGCCTGTCTGTGGAACATTGTTCGCTTTGAACATAAGTAAGCTCTGTTCTTGTTAAATTTGGGAAGTTCTCCAAGACATGGTTATGTAGCCAGGCTAGGGGGTTCCAGGGAGCCAGAAACATTTTAAGGCGGTTCTCTTGTTATGAGTAACAGGTGATTGTTATACTTGTGGTTTGTGGTCTGTAATTTTAATGATTATTTTTTAAAAAAATGATTGCCTATAATTTTTATAACTTTTTATATTTGATTGCTTAAATTGTACACTACTCAGAGTTGGAGGGCTATATCAGTGTGATTAAATAAATAAATATTACTACACTGGCAATATAAGCAATGGTAATAATATTATCAAAATGACGCATGGTCAGAGGAGTCTATCATTTTGTATCTTCAAATCAGTCTTGACTTTTGACGACAAGTCTCTACAGTCTTCTTGTCAACATTTTAGGGACTGATTTTTTCATTGCCTTTGACCTCCTAGGGCTGATAGAATGTATCTGGTCAAAAACCATCCAACTAGCTTTCACATTTAGGGTAGAACTAAAACTTATAGTCTCTTCATTCTAGTCTTTAATACAAAACTGGATCTTATGATCAGAGCATACATTTCTTTTAATGTGCTATCCGTGGAACCATACTGAAACTTCAGAAATAATGTGAAGTATGTTTTTTTTTTTACCCTCTAACTTACATGGACTTTCCTTCTTTATGTGATCTAATGTCTGAAAGTCATTGATCCATACTCAGGAATGAGTCACTGAAGAACACTGAAGATGCAGTAACGCAAAGTTTGCACTGAGTACGATGCAATTTTGTAGGCCAAAATAAAAGCAATGGCCTTAAGAATAGTTCCCAAAACTTTTCTGAGCAAGACTTGAGACAAAAATAGCACACACTAATCTATCTAGGGCTACACATTTTCCATGCTTTAAATTCCAGAGAGGTCGTATCAATTACCTAGTTTAGATCCTATCTACGTAGAGAATTATTAATATATTTTAATTATATTGTCAATACAAGTTAGTACATAGACTTTTGCGATATGTTCACATAAGTAAAAATCACTTCAGCTTACATATAAAGATATACAGAAGATCTTATAAATTCCTGGAAGACACATTAAATGGTGTTTTTTCTGTACATTCTTCATGTGTATGACACTAGTGCAAGTCACCTATTTACTCTTTTCACAATTCTACTAATGGTAAGTAATTTCATGCTGAATAAAGTTTAGCTCAGTGTTTCTGAACTTTAGCAAGTTTAAGATATATGGACTTCAATTTCCAGAATTCCCCAGCCAGCACATGGGGGCTGCAGAACGTTAGCCCAATCAAGCCACAATTTAACAGAATGTTTAGAAAAGAAGGAAGAGGCATTTTAAAAGTATATGCCTTAGTAATGATTTCCTTAAATCTTTTTCTTTTATGGATTTTGCATGCAGAATGTCAGCAGCAACTTTATTCAGCATCCTGCCTCCATAATATAAACTGGGTTATGCTAAAATATATTCTATTAGAAATCATTTTTTTAAAAGCTGAATGTTGTTTAAAGTATGTTTAATGAACCCAATAAACACATTTCAGGAGTTGAGATATGCAAGCCCTAAGAATATCCCAAATGCACCACAAATACATCAAAGTAATAAAAGACAGAGCATATTTTGGCCTACATCACTGCCTTTCAAGGAGCTTTAAATTACAGAAAAGAACAGTCTTCCTATTATAATTAAGGAACAAATATCTGGCAGAAGCTTCTTAAGGCATAAAAAGTTTCCTCTTAGATACAGATCTTGGGACAGTAGTTTTCAATTTATTTTAAAAGCAAAATTGAATGCCTTATTGTAATTCCAGTCACAAGAGAAAGGCATACAGTATAGTTTAATAACAATATCTTATCCAAAAGAAAGAAAAATGACTAAAAATTCATATAAACAATCCTATGGATGTTGTTTTTTTTTAATGCATTTGAGGACCCAGATTGTCGGGGGCAATATGCTGACTCTGTAAACTGCTTAGAGAGGGCGGTAAAGCACTGTGATGCAGTATATACTGTAGTGCTATTGCTCCACCTATAATCAGTTCTTGTGGCAATGATAACCTCAATCATTTAAGGGAAGCAATGCGGTAACAAATACTTAGTTCAAAATATTAAAAAACAGAATAGCTGTACTTAAGGGAAACTACAGTCTGATCATCTACACCTGTGCAAAACAGCAATTGCCTTCTTCTATAATAAGCAGCGTGAGTCACATCTGAATGTTATTTGTATCTGTAGCTACACACTGAAGTCCAGGGTGACTATTTAGACCAAAGGTAAGAAATTTGTGCATAGAAGACTCCATGTCTCCATTCTGAATGGAATCTACTAATTTGTATGTGGGATGAAAGCTGGGAGGGTTTTAAGACATGAAATAGGTATATTCAGCACGCTTTTTCTAATCCCAATTCCTCACAAATTGTCCCAATTTCGCTTCCCAAAGTCTCCTCCTCCCTCCCTCCCATTGGATGCAAGTCATTGAACAAAACAAGACATACGATTTTAAACAACTGCAATTACACATTGACTTTGAAGGCAGATGTTATTTAAAACTTGAATTGCTTTAGGAATAACTTATGATTAAAATATAACCAATCCTTTGCAGCTTAAATATGGCATGCCACAATAAACATCTAATAAATGCTCTCCCAAGTTCAATTTTTGCACCCAAACAATGCTTTCATATCAAACAGCTGATGGATATTCAAGTTTCATTGTTTGGGTGATAAAAATGAACTGTCGGAAGAGCATATATTTAATGTTTATTCTGCTTTGTCACATTTAGCATGGACTGAAATAAATTCTCTTCCAAGATTAAATGTCTTATAGTACACATATTATGATGCTGTTTATAAAGAAACATAACTATTACAAGCCTCATACGTACCTTTTGGTAACACTGCTAAAAGGCTGGCATCAATATCTTTAGTGCTGTTTGAAAAGTCTTCTTTATCTTCAAATGAAAACTCTTTCTGAAAACTAAAGCATCATCACCTTGTTTTAACAAAGCTGCAAGAGCTCCAGATATTAATCTAGTTACAGTATATTAAAACACAAAGATTATTTTTATCATGGACATAATATGGAGTAAAGAAGAACAGGACCTCTTCTCCCTGAACTTGTTTGTTTTCTTGCAGATATTTCATTACCCAACTAGATAACATCAAGAAACTACCAAAAAGAAAACAATTGCACCAACACTTGCACCAACACTGACAAGGCAAACCACTAGTATATAAACAGAGAGAAAACCCAACACTTTTCTAACACTGATATTGTTATCTAGTGGGTTAATGCTTGCAAGAAAATAACTGAGATCAGATGACATCAAGGATCCCACAACTATTCCTGTTCTGGAGACATGGGGATCAATCTTGATTAAACTTGCCTGACAGGTTTTCATTGAAGATACATATGAAGACATACCATAGGAACAGTGATAAAGTCTAAACAGTTAATATATCCTTCATTGATGTATTCATATTTAGGTGGCAAAAATAATTTGTAAATAATGGATAAATAAAAATAATAGATATAACTAAAAAAAATTCCATGTGATAGGAAGGCAAAAAATGGCAATTTAGGATAACTTCTCAACAGCCGTCAAGAAAACCTCACAGGACCTTCTAATCTCCTGATTCCTATGCCTGGGAGAACAGCTAGGTTTTGAGCACTTTCCTACATGCTAGCAAAGTTGAGCTAAGCTAATTATGGATAATGAGGTGCTCCAAAGGGCAGGTGCTATGACAGAAAAGGCACACTTCCTGGTGACACCAGATGTCATTCTTTAATCACCGGGACCTGGAGGATGCCTCTCCTGCCAGATTGAATGGAATGAGTAGAGGAAATAGAGAGATCTGGTCCCTCAAGTAAGGCAGGTAGCAACCAACATCTTGAACTTCACCTGGAAGACAACCTCCTAAACTTATTTTTCTCGTTATATTATTTCCATATAGTTTGAGATATTTCCTCTATACTTATTAAATTTATACCGCTCCATGAAAATAAAACCTCCCCAGATAATAAGCCCAATCGGGCTTTTGCACGCATGCACTAAAATAAGCCTTCCCCTGAAAATAAGGACTTCCCTAAAATATTTAAATGTATGTGCAGCTGGTCTCCACAATTTCCTGGGGGGAGGGGGAACATGTCCACGTGCCGTGCATGCACCTGCCATCCATGCAAAATGGCCTCGCAGAGGCTGCTCCTACAAAGCCTAGATACCATGCCCCTTCTCTTAGTGGCAGCCGCAAAAAGAACAGCAGGCCCTTGCTAGGGCTGGCAAGAATGTGCCAGAAACAGAGACAGAACTTCCTGCCCTCTCTGGATCCACGGGCTGTGGTTAAGGGGCCACCTGCACCTCAAAAATAATGAGATTTCCCCAAAAATAAGGCCAAGCGCTTATTTCGGGGGTCAAAAGAAAACAAGACCCTGTCTTATTTTCAGGGAATCACAATATATGTTAAAACCTTTAGATCATGCATGAAGTCTCTTACAGCAGAATATACCTCATTCTTAATGAATTTACCTCAAATTCTTTATTTTTTTAAAAAAATTATTTATACATTTTTCTTTAACATATATAAGTGCTTAATAAACAGTACTGTCTGGATCAATTTAGTTATACATAATAATATTATCTACTTATTCATAGTGGTATTCTTCCAATTTCTAATTTCTACCTCTGTTATCTAACCATTGATAAAATAAATCCCATGTTGTAAAATATTCTGTATCTTCTTTATTCTTTATCTTTAATGTTAACCTATCCATTTCCTCAAAGTCTAGTAATTTTTAAATTATATTTTCATCTGTAGGAATTTCCTCATTTTTCTGGTGTTGTGCAAATACAACTCTCATTGCCGTCAAACCATGTAGTATTAAATATATGTTCTCTTTGTCATACTTTTCTAGTAGTATACCGAATTTAGCTCAGATTCTTAATGTTATGAAAATGGGATATTAATCACTTGGAAAATTAATATTTTGCTGTAATACAGGTCATATTTCAAGCAGCATTCAGTCTTGTAACTTAATAACCTAGACGATTTACTTACAGACTTCTTAAATTCCATTTTTGAAAGTATAAATTATAGTTAATTAGAAGTAATTGTTTACAAATTTTAAGACCCAGTTTGTTGTAGTGCTTAAGCTATCGTGCTAGAAATTGGGAGTCTGTGACTTCTAACCTCATCTTGGGCACAAAGCCAGCTGGGTGACTGGGCCAATCACTTTTCCTAGCCCGATGAATGAGTAAATGACAAATCATTTTTAAAAACCTTGTCAAGAAAACTGCAGGGACTAGCCCAAGAAGTCTTTGAGAACAGGAGGAAAAAAATACAAATTCTAGATCCAATTTTTGTTGTGGTTAAAGTGCTAGCTTAGAAACTAGGAGATGGAGAATTCTAGTCCTGGATTAGTTATTCTCTCTCCGCCCAACCTACCTCACCGGATTGTTATTGTAGAGAAAATAGGAGGAGAAAGGAGAGGCATGTTATTTATAAAAAATTATAAAAGAGGGATTTTTAAAAATCCCTCACAATTCACAAAAAAATCATGAAAAAATGTTTTTCTCCCTTTTCCTCCCTCCCAAATGTAACTTATTCTATTTGCTAGTGAACATAAAACATGGCCCAATGAATTCTGTGTTTTAATTTTGTTTTCTTCTTTACCATTTTAAACCCAGGTGGTTTTAAGAAAACTGCTTAATTATCATGCCAAACTCTTATGCTATTGCAAATATTAATTAGCAATAGCAATAGCAGTTAGACTTATATACCGCTTCATAGGGCT